TAATTCAGGCGTTGGAGTGGAGGGATCGGGAGGAACTAGGGGAGTAGACTAAAATGAGGGTCCAGACCCAGAGTTTTTCTTGAGATCTCTGAAGTCAGCAAGGAGGTGCTTGACCCCACCTGCCTGTAGCAAGTGTAGGAAATGGTCATTCTGGAGCAAGGAGACAGACAATGCCTCGTAGCCCCAGAGCTGCACCCTAGCAGCTTTCTTCTCCATAGCAAGCTGCCACGTACCCAGCCAGATGGCACCAACGTTCCTGGAGAGCCAGCCTCACCCATCTCCCAGCGCCTACCCCCCAAGGTAGAATCCCTGGAGAGTCTCTACTTCACCCCCATCCCTGCTCGGGGTCAGCCCCCCTTGGAGAGCAGCCTGGACTCCCTGGGGGACGTCTTCCCGGATTCGGGCCGTAAGACCCGCTCTGCTCGCCGGCGCACCACGCAAATCATCAACATCACCATGACCAAGGTCAGGCTGTGGAACTGCAGGCCCGTGGACGCCCACTTCTCTCACTGGGGCCACAGGCAGGAAAGCTGATCTTGGGAGGGGCAGTGACTTGATTCTGTACCAAGAGGGAGGGCTTGGGTTAGACCCATCTCCCCAGTGCAGCCCCAGCCCTGTGCAGGCTGAGGGGAGAGAACAGCGCAGCCCTGGGCACTGATGAGCTGGGCTCTGGGTTCTTGGCCTTGTCTCCATCTCCAGGAGGCTGGAGAGAAGGACAAGGTGCTTCTGGTACAGCAGGGAGGAGCTCTGGATGGGGTTCCCTTTGCTGTCAAGAAGCCCCAGTACATAGAGGCAGCCAAGGTTGCCTGTGTTCTAGTTCCATCCTGGCACCTCCTGGCCGAGCAGTTTAGGGCTGCTCACTGCATTTTTTTGCACCTCACCTGACACAGCTGTGCTGTGGGTTCTGGAGGTGGAGAACGGAAGATGGCTTGCTTTGCAATGTCAAGACCCCCTATCCTCTGCCATGACTGATTCTCTTCTAGAAGTTAGATATGGAGGAGCCAGACAGCGCCAACTCATCCTTCTACAGCACACAGTCCGCCCCCGCCTCCCAGGCCAACCTCCGAGCTGCCTCCTCCACGCAGTCGCTAGCTCGCCTTGGCTCTCCTGACGATGGCAACTCAGCCCTGCTCAGCCTGCCTGGCTACCGGCCCACTACTCGCAGCTCTGCTCGCCGCTCCCAGGCTGGGGTATCCAGTGGGGCCCCACCAGGTGAGGGGACTGCAGGGACTTACCACATTCCCAAATCAGACTAGAAGTAGATTCTAGCATAAGAACGTGGCAAGATTGTGTGTGTGAGTGGATTGTGTGTGTGTGTGTGTGTGTGTGTGTGTTTTCCCCTGGTTCTGGAGTTTAAACTTAGGGCTGTGCTCATTAAGCCATGCATGTCCCTTGATCCTTTTTGCTTTACTCAAGTAGAACCTCACATCTTTGCTCAGGGTAGCCTGAACCATAATCCTCCTAGATATGCCTTTGATATAGAGCTGGGATTTCAGGCATGAATCACTGGCTAGAACCTCAATCCTGTTCTCCACCTCCTCAGTAATAGGATTATAGCATGAGCCACTGTGCCTAAAGAGGTGGACTTTTACAGATCTACAGCCTCATTGTTGCCTTCCTGCACCAACAACCACCTGCTGCTTCTCCCTTACTTGGCATCAGCACAGCAGGGCAATCCCTGCTGTTTCCCTCCTCTCAGGAGGTGATGAAGAGCTGGAAGGGCCATGGCAACCAGCCATTTCCTGGAGGCCCTTGCTTGCCCTTCGCACTCAAGGCTGCCCCCCCCCCGCCCTCCCCCAAGTATCAATTTCTAGTTGGCATGGGTATCACACCTTGGCAAACAAATAAGACAGCACACCTTTGCTTCTGCCTTCTGCTGTCCCTATGCCCCGCGCGAAGCCCCTGCATCTGCAGCGCTGAGGTCCCGGGATGCAGGAGGGGCACTGGTGGGGCAGAGCGGTGACATAAGGGCCAGCAGGTGATATGCTGACTCCAGCCTGTCGGATCCCCATTGCCTGTCCCACAGGAAGGAACAGCTTCTACATGGGCACGTGCCAAGATGAGCCCGAACAGCTGGATGACTGGAACCGCATTGCAGAGCTGCAGCAGCGCAACCGCGTGTGCCCCCCCCACTTGAAGACCTGCTACCCCCTGGAGTCCAGGGTGAGCCCTAGGGGCCATCCCCTTCCCCCATGGCTTCTTCCCTAAATGCCACCCATTAGTGTCCCCTGAGCACGGGTGCTGGGCAAACAGGAAGGCCTTTTAGGACAGGAAGGACCCAGCAGCCCTATATGGTGTGTGAATGGAGTCCTGACATGGCCCAGCTCCTGCTACAGCTCCATACTGCTGGGTCTCCCTGACCAGCTCTTACCCTATGCAGCCTTCCCTGAGCTTGGCCACCATCACCGATGAGGAGATGAAGACTGGAGACCCCCGGGAGACCCTGCGCCGAGCTAGCATGCAGCCGGCCCAGATTGCAGAGGGAGCTGGCATCACCACCCGGCAGCAGCGCAAACGAGTCTCCTCAGAGACCCACCAGGGCCCTGGCACCCCTGAGGTAGGGAGCTCTGGGGTGTGTTTTGTTCTGTGTAGCCGTGTGCCCAGGTCAGGCCTAGTAGCCAAGCAAATTTAGGGGGAGATTTCTTCCCAAGAGTTGGAAAGGGAGCGGGCTGACCAGCTCTGCTTGGCTCCGGGACAAGTTGCCCTGCAGCCACCGCCTCTCCGCTTGTCTTCTTCCCCAGTCCAAGAAGGCCACCAGCTGTTTTCCCCGCCCCATGACTCCACGGGACCGGCACGAAGGACGCAGACAGAGCACTACAGAGGCCCAGAAGAAAGCAGCTCCTGCCGTCTTGAAGCAGGTTAGGCTGGGGCAAGCCTCGAAGCCTTGTTGGCTGAGCACAGGCCCTGCTGCCAGGCCAGGCTCTGACAAGTGGCCCATTCCCACAGGCTGACCGCCGCCAGTCCATGACTTTCAGTATCCTCAACACACCGAAGAAGCTGGGGAGCAGCCTTCTGCGGCGAGGAGCCTCGAAGAAGGCCCCAGCCAAAGCCTCCCCCAACACCCGCAGTGGGACTCGCCGCTCTCCACGCATCGCCACCACCACAGCCAGTGCCGCCACTGCTTCTGCCATTGCTGCCAGCACTGCCACCCCTAGGGCCAAGGGCAAGGTGGGCACACTGGAGGGAGGGAGAGGGAAGGAGCCTAGTGCAAGCCTGCATAATCCCTGACTGGCCCATGGGAAGCTCCCCAAGGCAGGGCCACGCTAGGCCACTGAAGGTTGGGGGTTATGGGGACATGTCCCCTGCTCTGCTTAAGCAGCTCATTGAAGATGACCAAGGGCTCCTAGGCACAGCCAACAATTGGTAACTTGAAGCCAGGTAGGTTGCTGGTGGCTAGCAACACAGGATTCTTTTTCTCTTGCAGGCAAAGCACTAAGGAACCAGTACCAGTGCTGGCCTCACCTGGTCCACTTCCTTCTACTGTCCCTCTCAGTGCCTTCTCTCAGCTCCCAGGCCAGTGGTGGCCAAACCCCAGAGACAGTGACGCCTGCCTGTACCCTGGCCTGATATCCGGACCTTTACTGGTGCCGTCTCGAGGCACCGTCTCAGAGCTGGCCCGGAGGCTTGTCACATGGACAGGGTGGGCCTTCTCGCATCTTTGCCTCCCGATTCTTTTCTTGGGGCAGTCACTTCTCCATCATAGCCTGATTAGAGGCTGCGTCTGAGGTTGAAATCTGTGAAACTAGCCAGTCCTTCTCAGCCTCTGGATCTAGAAGGGACCATTGGAGAAGCTGCTCAGGGCCTACAGGAGGCCCTTGCTCCTGAAGCCCAGGATTGGGCTTCACCTGATAGGAGCTCCTGCCCCAGTGCTCCATCCACCCAAGCGCACAGCTGTCCAGAGAATGCTTTCCTCCCCACGTGCCCCTCCGCCCCCAGGACAAATAGGCCCTGGGGTCTCAGGGCTGGGGTAGGAGCAGCCCTTCAACAGTAGCTCACAATCCCATTTAACCCAGACTTTGCACTGGGGTGGGATTTGGAATGAGGGGAAGGTTTTTAAGAGTCGGGATGGATCTTTTCTAAATGTTATTACTTGTAAATAAAGTCTATTTTTCTCCCTTGAGTGTGGAGCTACCTTGGTCAGTCAGTATGGAAAAAGAGTAAATCGAAGCTTGCTTTTTTTCTGGGGGGGGGGAGGGGGCAGACCTGGGGCTTGAGCTGCTTCTGCTCAAGGCTAGCACTCTACCACTAGCCTACATTCCCCACCCCAAATCAAGGCTCTTGGAGCCTGCTTTTGCTTCCAGAGCCCTGACCATCCTTCTCTCCATCTCTTCTTGGGGTCACATTTTGCCCAGGAACTTCACTTCACCTGGCCTGTGCTGTGAGGAACATTTAAGGTTTGTCTGTTTGTGTGCATGTGCACATACAAGGTCTGGGGTTTAAGCTCAGTGTGGACATTGTCACTTGGCTATTTTGCTCTAAGTGAGCATTCTACTACTTGAGCCACAGCTCCACTTATGGCTTTTTGGTGCTTAATTGGAGGTAAGAGTTTCACAGACTTTTCGTACCTGGGCTAGCTTCAAATCACAATCCTCAGATCTCAGTCTCCTGAGTAGCTAGGATTACAGGAGTTGATGCCTGGCTCTTAATTTTTTTTTTTTTTTTCCCTGTGCAGATTCTAGAGCTTGAACTTAGGGCCTGGGCACTGTCCTTAAGCTTTTGTGCTCAAGGCTAGCACACTGCCACTTGAGCCACACCTCCACTTTTGGCTTTTTGGTGGCTAATTGGAGATAAAAGTCTTAGACTTTCCTGCTTGGGCTGGCTGCATGCCTATTCTCAGATCTAAGCTTCCTGAGTAGCTAGGATTACAGGCACTCTATTTCCTTTTTAAGGGCACGGGTTTTTAGTATGGTTTTGTACTTGGCTTCCGGGAGGCGTTCTCCCTCCAGGGCAGGCAAAGTTCCTGTGAACAGACTGGGGCCCGAGCAGAGGTCAGAACATTTCATTGAGTAATCCTGTGCCAGCTCACTGTGTGCCCTGCTGGGAATGACAAGGGCACAGCTGTGAGTCAGAAGCAGACCTTCCCTGAGGTTGGTACATTAGAGGGAGCTGGGAGAGAGAAGAAAATGAGAAACAAAATCCACCATGAATGTGTCCAGAGCTGTTTGGCTGTCACGTAAGAGGCATTTCCATCAGGCTTCAGGGTTCACATGCTACGATGGTGACAAGGGAACAATGAGCAAAGGTACAGCAGGGGGCTGTCAAGGCCCTTGGGTGCTGGGCCAGGGCGTGGGCAGGTCTTGGAGGTTCCTTAGCAGGAAAGCAGTGTCCTGAGTAGGGCATTAGAAAAGTGGATGGGCTAAGTGGAGGTGGAGGCTTCACCCTCCAAGCGAGGAGCCCCAGGCTCTGCTCAAGGCTGTGCTGTTGTTGACCCTGTGCTGATTCTGGGCCCTGCTGATGTGGGCAGCTGGAGCCCAGGGCTATGGCTGGAGGGCAAAGCTCCTTGTGATGGGGCTGGCACTGTCCTCGGCTTGGCCTGGGGAGGTAAAGGCAGACAATGATCAGAACCAAGGAACACAGGGACACCTATCATTTTCCTCTAGGCCTTGCCTCTTTTTGTTTTCACTTTAGGCTGACAGGGGAAGAGTGGAACACAGAGGCTACTGCAGCCTCTCCTTCCTCCCCACAAAGCAGCAGCTCCTGCCCCTGGATGCTCTCCCTTGGGGGTTACTCACCCAGAGCTGAGCCAGGATGACATAGCGCTGGGCGACCTGTCCAGGGTCCGCAAAGACACAAGAGAAGTTGGTGCTTTGCAGGGTGGGACTCAGCTCCTCCAGCACCAAGTCCCTCTGAAGCTGAGTGCTTGTGCGCCTGTGCTCGTAGCTGGAGCAGGGGAAGGCAGGCATGAGAGGACCACAGGGGGAGGCCTCCCTCCCGCTGCTTCACTGCTGAGGACCCTCACCTGGTGCTGCCCTCTCTCATCTGGCCCGGGAGGTACTCAATAAAGGAACCATTGCCCAGCCAGTAGAGGATGCTGAAGTGGGGAAAGCGGCTGCAGGCAGTACAGGACAAGGTCAGCGATCCATCTAGGGGCACATGTGCCTGTTAGCCCTTCCCAAGAGCAGACCCCGCCCACCCTGCTAGCTCCCATCAGGAAGCTGGAGCACTGCTGTGCACCCCACCTACAGAAGAAATGAAGGGGGAGAGGGGAAGCACACGCAGGGGTCTGCAAGAGAACCCTGAGCACAGGGAGTGTGGGGAAGGGTCCTTCGTCCATATGATGAACCCATTTCTGAGCCTTTCCCTCAGGATGACATTTTCTGGTGTCCAGTCTCTGATTCTGGGAGGCCAGGCCACAGGGGACATGACATATACAGGCTGATGACTTCGAGCTAGCTAGAGGGCAAGCAGGCTCTGGACAGAGCACACCTTCTAGTTCACTGCAACCAAGGCCTATGGAGGTCCCATTACCACTCCTTATGTCTGAGTCTCATCTTCAATAAAGATTATCTTTGGGTCTGGCCTGGCTGGTGACTTGTGTAAGGTCCACCAAAGAGTCAGCCCAACCCCTGGGATGTCTGTGCCACAACCCACCCGACACTCTGTGCTCCTTGGGCTCCCACTATTGCTCCTTACTCAGTGGCACTTCCGTCTCTGGCCAGGTCACCTCCAATGCTGGACACCGCTTAGTTGGCGGGAGCACTGGGGGCCAGGTGAGGCAGGCTTTCTTGGTGGTCCCAGCTGAGGCCGAGGCAGCTGTGGTGGTCTCAGGGGTTGAGGCGGTTCGGGCCGGGGGAGTGATGGTGTGGGCACACAGAAGCAGGACCCACAAAGAAGTGGGGTCTGGAGAAAGGACAGTCACAGAAGTTATCAACTGACCTTCCTGGCACTGCTCAGCACCCCAACTTCTATCTTAACCAAGTTGCAACCTGGTTAAGGGTATAACCCTAGGCTAGAGATGCATGGGATAAAGCCAGGAAAGCAGGCCCCTCCGGACCTTTTGAACGGAGCACAGAGAAGCCCAGGAATGGAGCCTGGGCTGGTGTATCTCCGTTATCCAGTGTGGGGGGCGTTCTCCTGGGGGTACCGCTTTGTTCAGCACATCCCCCCTGTGCAGCCCACATCCCACCTGCTATCCGGATCTGTCTCACTGTCATGCTGCACACGCAGGATCTGGGGAGAGATGAGGAAAGGTCAGCTACCACACCTTTGAGAGACTTTATCTGTCAACTTCATAGCTGCTCTGTAAAAAGCCAAACCTTCAGTGGGCTTCCCAGCGCTGTCCTGTCCATCTGTCCCATTGGTTAACTTGCCGAAGCTGCCTGCAGCACAGGCTCGAGCTGTCAGTACTCTTGGCTGTTACCAAGTGATAATCTCCCCCACCTGGCTCTAACTAATGTGATGGCTACCCAGTCCAATCTTACCCCTTTCATACAGATAGGAACACAGGCTCAGGCCAGGGACTTACCTTGTCACTCGGGAGGTAACGCTGGCTCTGCCACCAGCACCTGTCCGGGAAGGCAGGATGCAGAAAACTCTTTCTGGGAAAGCAAGGCCCACTCCATTCACTTTCACTTTCACTTTTATTATGAATTTAGGGAATTCGTTTGTTTTTTTGGTCGGTCATGGGGTCTGGACTCTGGACCTGTGCGCTGTCCCTCAGCTCTTCAGCTCAAGGCTAGCACTCTACCACTTAAGTCACAGTGCCACTTCCAGCCTCTTCTGCTTCTGTGGTACTGGGGCCTCAGGCATGCAAGGCAAGCACTCTACCACTGAGCCACCTTCTAGCCCCTTTGGGAGGCTGCTCCCACAGAGGCCACCTGTCCTCCCCACAGGCAGAGCTCCACCTGTTCCTGGGTGCTTGTCATCCAGAGCCAGGCCAGGATGGTGTGACACCAGGCACTTTGACCAAGGCACGCACGCACGCACACACACAGGATGGGGCTCAGTGTACCAGTGCTCCCCAAAGCAGCCACGGAGGCAGTATTGCATTCTGTTAACTCCTAGGTCCCTACTCCTCAAACACCAAACCGGACCTGACTACTCCCCAGGGCCACCTCAGGTGCAATCTATGTAAGAGCCACAGGTCAACTCTGTCCTGTTCCACTAAGAGTCCCCTCTGTGCTTTAATAAGAGCTAGACCTTTGTTTTTATTGAGGTGGGGCATTGCTTCCTCCACCTTCATACCAATATTCAGACAACATTCCTAGGTACTAGAGACCTCAGCCTGGCTCAAGGCCATACAAGCCCATCAACATCCTAGTCTTCCTAGGCTCCCCATCTCCACCCAGCCCTAAGATCAGCTATTTCACCCATATCCACCTATGACTCACAAACTCTCCCCTTGCTCCTCCAGATTTTCCCTACCTGGTTCCCAAAATGTCCAGAAATGCTCCCTTTTCAGAAGCTCCCTTCTGGGACAGACAGGCCCAGTGCTGCTAGGAACATATGCCACAACTCAGGAAATAGCATCTCCCTGCCTAGTCTGCAGAAATCCATAGCCAAGCCCAGAATATGATGCAAGCTGAGAGTTAACTTTGAAAGAGGAAGGCCTTTCTCAGTATGGCACAAACCAAGGAAATTAGGGCTGGGTTAGGGCCAGGACTAGGGTTAGGCAAAAGCTGGCTATATTCACTGCTCTCTCAGGGGCCTGCAAGTACCTACGGAAGCAGAAAGACCATATTGGGAGAATCCAGCGCACACATACATTAAGTTTGGGGAAGAACTGTGCCTGAGGTTTATAAGCTGATAAAAACCGTGGAGGTAGCTGGGCACCAATGGCTCACGCCTGTAATCCTAGCTATTCAGGAAGCTGAGATCTGAGGCTCATGGTTCAAAGGCAGCCAGGGCAGGAAAGTCTGTGAGACCCTTATCTCCAATAAAGCACTAGAAAACTGGAAGTGGGACTGTGGCCCAAGTGGTAGAGGGCTCTCGCCTTGAGCTGAAGAGCTGAGGGACAGCGCCCAGGCCCAGAGTTCAAGCGGGGGGTGGGGTAAGGGGGAGGAAGGGGCTTGGAGGACACATCAGGCGCATGGACAGATTCAGGTGTAGACTAAAATCCCTGTCCTTTTCTTTTGATGCCAAGTTCACATTTCAGATCCTCAGCAATTCTGCCTACCTCCTGCCCAGAGGCTTCTAGGTTGCAGAGAAAAGTCCTCCCAGGACCACCAAATCTCCACAAGTTGCTCAGGGAGGAAGGCTACTTGGGTGCTCTGGAAGAGTCCACGGGGGACTAGGTGCTAATGGCAGGGAAAGGGACTGGGTCTCTATCAGAGAGGAAACAAGATCAGAGGTGGCCACTGGGAAGTTGTGGAATGCTGGACTGCTAAATATGCTTTTTAGGGAGGACAAAAGTGATCTCTGGGCCCTCTGACCAGTCTTCATTGCCCTGAGGATGGGCTCAGAGTGCAAGCGAGGGCATGGGTACTATGCAAAGCCACAGATGGGTGAGAGACACCCAAGCTGAGACTGACCTTGAGGGAGGGGGGTGGCAGCGTGCAGAGGCATCCTAAACCCTAATCCAGGAGAAGAACACAGCATTCTGAGGGCAACACTAACCATCCCATGCCCATCTCTCAGTGAGGGAGGAGCATGACAACCCCACGTGCCCCAGGAAAAGAAGAAGTCAACTTTCCAACCCAGCTCATGGAGCTTTATTCACACAAGTGACAAGATACTGCCCTTGAAGAGGCAGCCACCCTGGGCCATATTCCCTTGAAACACAGCGATGATGGGCACTGGTGCCCTTCCACTTCCAAATTCCTAGCGGCTTCTGCCTGGAAGCCCCTATGCAAAACCTGCACTCAGGTAGGCCTTGTCTGCCTTCCCTCCCATCCACCACTCTCATGTTATCATGTCACCAGGCAGGGCTCATGAACAATGACGCTCACACAGGGCTGCTCCCTCCGCTGGGAATCCCTCACTAGCTTCAAGGACACAGTGTGACAAGTGACGAAGTTGACATCTGTCGTAGTCCTGCTACACACATACACACATGTATACACCCTCGCTCAGGCTGTCAGGAAGGAAGTGATGTGCACACCGGCCTTTGGCACATATCCTTACTGATGGATCAACCTGTACAAGAGGCCTTCAATCACACCAACAGTTACCCCAAAACCAGATGGCCTCTGTTCCTGGATGAAGACAGCCTGCTCAGGGCAGGTTATCCGTGGTGCGGTTTCTTTCAGTTATCCCAAAACACATCATCAATGAATCCTGAGGCCTGGGCTTCCCTGGGAAAAGTGACTGATGAGGTCCCAGTTGCCCCACCCTGTGTTTAGCTCCTGGACAGGGGAGACAGAATCAAACTCAATACCCATCCTAAGTCCTACACTGGGCAGCAAGGAAGCCCCCTTAGTGCTCAACTGTGGCACCAGTCTGAGCTTTTCAGCTCTTCGACACTGAGTGCACCACACTTGAACCCCACAGAAAAGGAAAGAAAGGAAAGCGAAGGGAAGGGAAGGAAAGAAAGGGAATATGCAGGCAGAGACTCTCAGCTACCTGAGAACCAATAGTGCTCTCAGCCAGAGGTGAGGCTTCTTTAAACCAAAAACATCATGGCTCTGCCCCAGCCCTGCTCAGGCAGGGTGAGACCTGGAGGGGGTAACTCCTCTGCTCCACAATAAAAAAGGTTTTTAAATATATTCATCAAAATAGTTTTCTTTTAAAAAGCCTCCCCCCCCACCCCACCCCACCCCACTGTTGACAGCTCCACTGGCTGGTTCTCATATCCCTCCCCAGCCCGGACACAGCCAGAGAGGTCCTGAGTGACCCAAGCACCCCTTTGAGTCTTTCCCGCACAGGTCTTCGTGGGCAGCGAGGAGAGTGCCCTGAGGTCCACGGCAGGTGGGGTGGGTTCTTCATGGATGCTCTCCCTGACTATTCCAGACCCAGGACGTAGTTGATGCCTTGCACCAGGCCAATGATGACAGGTTGCCAGGCTACCAAGTATCGAAGCCAGTCCAACAGCTGTCCATACATGACATGAGGCCTCTCCCAGCTGTCGGCGTGTTAAGGATTAGAGGCTACATGTGAGACTGTTAACATCACCCAGCACCGTGGGAAGACCCTCCTTGGACCTGCCCACATGTTCCCACGGCTCTAGTCTAGAAGAAGGCTCTCTTCCCTCCATGTTGAAAATAAGAGCCAAAGGCTGAGAATGGAGGGAGGAGAGAAGCAGGGACTGGAGACAGCATGAAGGCAGAGAGGTGAAACAACTCTTCACAACCATGGAGGCCTTGTGTATCGATTTCTCTGAGCCTGTTAGTATAAGAAAGAAGCCTGGGATCTATAGGTATGCTGCAAACGTACCTGTGACCATGGCTGTAAGAAGGATGGAAGTGGGATAAGGTAACCCCAAAGGTTCTTCTGGTATGCAAATTTGTTAAGAGGAGGCTGATTCCAGGGACAGAGCAGAAGGGAACAGGGATCAAGAGGATAGTCCTGGCAAAGCCTCGAAGGAGGCCCTGTGGGTGCAAATAACCCCCACGGGGGCTCTTTCTTTTAACTTTAGATCTAAATGCTGGAAAGGGGGGTGGGGGAGCGAGCCTGGCAAGTCCAGCTCCAAGGAAAGTATAGAGAAAGTTCATGAAACTGTGGGGAAACCCCCGCTTGGCCCATGTCTCTGAGAGCTAAGGAAACCCCAAGTTTCAGCACGGCTATGGAATTACAACTGTTCCTCCTAAACTGGGCCCAAGAAGAATGAAACAGAACACCTGAAAGGAGGAGGCCAGAATCTCCTGTTCAAGGACTGTGAGCGTGTGCTAAGAATGTAATGTTCCATGAGAACCCCGGTGAGCACAGCCCCGCTGGAAGTGGAGGGAGAGCTGGAGAGTGGCTGGGGAAAGGAGTGGAGGCTAGGTCGGGAGACAGGTCCCAAGTTCACAATGGATGGAGAAGGCGCCCCTCAGCTGCTCCTTTGCCTTGCAGCTCCTCCATACTCACAGATCCAATCTCTAGCCACATGAAACAGGTAAGGAATGGCTCCTTGGATAACCGTGCACAAAGTTCTCAATCACTAAACGGTTTCACTTGTAAATTATATCCAGGTCAAAGTTGCCAGCACATGGAATGAGCAGTTACAAGAGAGGTACAAAGGAAGCACACAAGTAAATGGGGACAGCCATTACTATAGTTTATGATGGGAAGCTTGGATCCCACCCCATGTGACACGGCAACTTCCCAGGAACAGCCAAAGCAGCCAAACTGAATCGTAGGTTTGCTCCAGGTTGGGGACAAGGCCCAGGAAAACCCAGACACTTGCTCACATGGGCCAGTATTTTCTTCCCACCCTCCATTCCCAACAAGGACCCAAACAAAGGATACGGATTGCTGAACATCCTCTTCAGGTCTACCTTCTCTTTGCAATAGGGGCACGTCTGCTTCTTTCCCACAATGCACCACCCACGGATACAAAACTCATGGAATCTGAGCGTCGTTGGTTAAGGCAAGTGGTGGGAAGCCAGGATAATACACACAGCACCAGGTTTAGAAAGGTTCCAATTCTGGCTTCACTTTTTTTTTTTTTTTTTGTCAGTTGTAGGGCTTGAACTCAGAGCTGGGGTGCTATGCCTGAGCCTCTACGCTCAAGGCTAGCCCTCTACCTCTTGAGCAACAGCGCCACTCCCGGTTTTTAAGTGGCTAATTGGAGACAGGAGTCTCATGGGGACATTTCTGCCCAGGCTGGCTTCAAACCGCAATCCTCAGATCTCAGACTCTTGAGTAGTTAGGATTACAGGTATGAGCTACTGGAGCCTGGCTGACCTCACTTCTTATAAACTATGGAATTTTGAGCAAGTCTTTTCTCTCTCAACCAAAGGTTTCTTCACACATGGAACAGGGATAATGATCCCAACATTACATGTTTGCTGTAGGACAAAATAAAATATTACACATGACCTCCCAACATAACACAGCAAATATAAGACATATAGGAGAAGTGTTATTTAGAATGGGGATTTGATTGTAAACTGAGGGATCCCATTAAAGGTCCTTCCCTGTGATAACTGATCTTAGGTCAGCTAGCACAGGCTCAGGCTCTCTTTGACCTGGCAATCTATTACCATTCCTTCCATACAGACAGCACAAGGGTGAGGAAAACTGCAGTTTTATGGTTTTCTTACACTCAAACTCTGTCTAAAGTCACAACCACCCCTGACTAGAGTGTAGTCTTAGGAGAGATGGGGTCCAGGAGCACCAGGAAAGCAGGATACACATGATTGCAGGACAGTCTGTACGTGTTCTCAATGATGCCCTCTTCACTGACGTCCACAAAGATCTGCTGTCCACACACGGCACACACGCTGTCCGAAAGGTGTTTGGTAGGCATGCCTGACTCACTGTAGAACTGGAGGAGAAGAGCAAGAGAGAAGGACAGGAAAGCCATGAGAACCTGCCACAGTGGGAAGGCATCGCAGAAGCCTAGGGTCTTCTGAAAGGAGGCAAGGTGTCAGGGAGAGATACAGAACACCTTCCGAAAGCTATATAGAGCTTATGTTGGCTGAACAGACAGCAGAGAAAGGGACAGAGTAGGGGCTAGGAACATGTTCAGTGGTAGAGTACCTGCTTGGCATCCATGAAGCCCTGGGTTCCATTCCTCAGCACCACATAAACAGAAAAAGCTGGAAGTAGTGTTGTGGCTCAAGTGGTAGAGTGCTAGCATTGAGCTAAAAGCAGCTCAGGGACAGGGCTGGGAAGGTGGCTCAGTGGTAGAGCTCTTGCCTTGCATGCATGAGGCCCTGGGTTCAATTCCTCAGCACCACATAAGCAAAAAGAAAAAAAACGGAAGTGGCGCTGTGGCTCAAGTGGTAGAGCACTAGCCTTGAGCTGAAGAGCTGAGAGACAGCACCCAGGCCCAGAGTTCAGGCCCCACCACAGGACCCCCCCCCCAAAAAAGAAGAAACTCAGGGACAGTGCCCAAGCCCAGAGACCAGGCCCCAGGATTGGGGGGGGGGAGTAAAAACAAAAGCCAACTAGATATTTAAATGTCAATGCTCACAGCAGCATTATTCATAACAGCCTAAAAGTGTAACAACCCAGTATACAACCGATGAACATGTAAATAGAATATGATACATAACACAGCCATAAAAAGGAATAAAGTTCTAATATATATAATTTGTATTTCCTCCCTCCCTCTCTTCTATCCATCCATTCTTCCTTTTCTTTCTTTTTTGTTTCCATTGAATTGTCTCTAAAAAAGCCAAAGCCACCTATGTTAGTTAAAAAATGGCCCTAAGGTGAGTTGGGGGTGGAGCGGCCAGGGAAACAGGAACACAGCCCTTGACAAGGAAAAAGGGAAGACGAATTGGGCTCCCCAGAACAGACACAGATGTGCCTGCCAGAACGCCCACTAAACCTAGAAGGGAGCCCACATCCTAAACTGTCCTTCTCAGAAACAGCCTCTCGGCCATGAGAACAAGTAGGTAAGAGTCCAGACCTCTCCCCGAGTACAAGCACTCATTAAAGCGGACTCTACACCTATTACTGCCATCTCTCTTAAAGTCTGTACTACAATAAGGAAAAGGAAGGAAGGAAGGAAAAGGAAAAGGAAGAAATTGGATGCTGGTGGCTTGTGCCTCTAATCCTAACTACTCAAGAGGCTGAGATCTGAGGATAATGATTCAAAGGCAAGCTAGGCAGGAAAAGTCTGTGAGATTATTAACTCTAATTAACTACCAAAATTCCAGAAGTGGAGCTGTGGCTCAAATTGTAGAGTGCTAGCTTTGAGCAAAAAGGCTCAGGTACAATGCTCAGGCCTTGAGTTCAAGCTCTAGGAATGGCTGACACACATACACAGAGGAAATAAAAAATCCCATGACTTCATCCCAAGAGGGATCAAGGGGCAGAGGTGGGATGCTACATTGCCCATAAGTCCATGAATACAGAGATCCCTGCCTTTATCTGCTTGAAAACACTAAGTAGCTCAAATTGAGCTCACTGTCAAAAAACACTGTAACTATCTCCTCACTGGCAAAACCAAAACCTGGGCTGGAAAGGTGGCTGAGTGGTAGAGTGCTTGCCTTGCATGCATGAGGCCCTGAGTTCAATTCCTCAGCACCACATAACCAGAAAAAAGCCGGAAGTGGTGCTGTGGCTCAAGTGGTAGAGTGCTAGCCTTGAGCTGAAGAGCTGAGGGACAGCGCCTAAGCCCAGAGTTCAGGCCTCACGACCAACCAAAAAAAAAAAAAAAAAAACAGGAAAGAAAAGAAACAACGTAGGATCAGTACCCAGACCCTCTAACTACTGTTCACATCCTATCCACCCTACTGCTCACAGCTCCCCATCAACATTGTTACATGTCACAGGAAGGCCTGCTCTGCTCACTGACTGCCAGTTATCCCTAAGTTTCTGATTTGTCCATCAAGTGCAAAAGGCAACAGAGAGGACAGGGAGATGCCAAGATCTTTGGAGTCTATACACTGTGCAGTTCTCAAAAGCTAGAATCTCACATTAGTACCACAGAGTTCCTCTGAGAGGCCCAAGGCTCAGGACCCTGTTTAGGGTCTCCTGGGCACTTAGTGACACAGCTGATCAGGAAAGACAACAGCATAAACTGGGACTCCTAGAAGAGCCTGGCTTGGCTGGGGAATACAACAGACCCTCAGCCAATGCCTATTTTCATTTGAACTGCTAGCCTGTTAATTGAGTGAAAAGGTGAATGGTAGGCCATAGTTAGAAGAAATTAAAGAAAGCCTTTTCTGGAATGTTTTCTAGCTTAGAATTCCTTTTATTGGTGGTACTGGGGTTTCAACTACTGGCTTAGAATTTAGGTTCCATCAATTGAGTAAGAGAAGAGATGGCAAAGGTCTGGGTCAGCTCTAGCCGAGTCCAGGAGCACGGCTACTTATGCTGGCTCATTACACTGAAGTAACAGAATTTGGAACACTCCAACCTCAGAGGTGGGCTGGTGCTGAGAAAGGGTTTTACTTCAATTTATGCCAGAATTCTGATGCCAGGATGCTGGGCCAAAGGCTACACGATCAAAGGGGACTTCAAGGAGGTAAGGACAGTAGAAGGGAAGTCCAAGGAAATGTCTGTTAGAACTCTGGTTTCTGGAATGCCCCACCAGAAGCCAATGTGACTATGTGTCAGGATTAAATCACATAGGCTGTTTCAACACAGTCTGTCAAGTTAGAAAGTCCCTAGGATCCCCATGGTCACAGAACTCAGGAAAAGTCTGGACAGGACACTGAGGTGGAGATGCCTGGGCTGGCTTCGGAGCATGATTCTCACAGCTAGCATCCTGTCCCCAGTATGGCTTTTGGTGTGAATTAAACTATAATGACTGGCTATCAAGAGCTTAAGACAGCATATCACAAGCTTATGACTGTACTGTGACCAGCTTGGGGGAAAAAAAAAGTTGTCTCCTAACCCAAAGAAGAGTCACTTTTAGTTCAGGTTACAGACATTTCCATGTGACATGAAACCAACAACTATTCTACACTAAACAGAGAAGAGTATAAAGGACTTGGGAATGCTGGTCAATACAGTAAGGAAACCTAAAAGTTTCATTTCTTTTTGTTGGTAGTGCTGAGATTTGAATTCAGGACCTCTACCACTTCTATCACCTCCCAACTCTTTTGCCTTATATTTTTTGTAACAGGGTCTCACATTTTTTGGCCAAGCCAGCCTAGACTGTGATCCTTCTACTTACACCACCCGCAGAGCTTAGATCTTGGGAATATCCCACCACATTCAGCTTATTTGTTGAGACAGGATCTCAGTAACTTTTTGCTAGGGCTATCTCAAACCAGGATCATCCCAATCTTTTTTTTTTTTTTTTCTTTTGTGGTCGTGGGGCTTGAAGTCTGGGCCTGGGCACTGTCTCTCAGCTCTTCAACTCAAGGCTAGCACTCTACCACTTGAGCCACAGCGCCATTTCCATTTTTCTGGCAGTTTATTGGAGATAAGAGTCTGACAGACTTTCCTGCCTGGGCTGGCATTGAACTGCAATCCTCAGATTTCAGACTCCTGAGTAGCTAGGATTACAGGCATGAGCCACTGGCGCCTGGCAGGATTATCCCAATCTTAATCCCATGGTTTCTTTTAGGAACCTTAACAATTAGGTAACTACAGGATCTCTTTAGACCAAACCATTCTCAGACAGAAGCGTGCTGAGAAAGATGAATTAGATGTATTTCCTGACCTGGAGGCAAATAGTTGCAAAACCATCTGTGACTCTCTGAGGCAGAAATTGTGATCTTAGAATGTGCAAAGGACTATGAAAAATGGCAAAGTGAAAATGTGGTATGTACACAAAATGGAGTATTATTCAGCCTTAAAAGGGCAGGACATTCTGACACACAACAAAAATGAATCTTGAGGATGTGATGCTAAGTGAAATAAACCAGTTACAAAAAGATACAAGACTGTGTGATTCCTCTCCTATGAAGTGCTTGACCAGATCAAATACATCCAGAGATAAGAGTAGATTCAGACCAAAAAAGTTCTGGAAACCAATGACAATGATTACTGCAGATGTAAATGTACTTGATGTCAGTGAAATGTATCCTTATAATTAAAGTGGTGGGCAGAGGTGCAGCTCAGTGGAAAAGCACTTGTTTAGCATGTGAGGCTCTGGGTCTGAACCCAGCACTGCCTTCTCCTCCCACTACCCATCCCCCGCTCCAAAAAAACAGAAGGAAAAAAAGGCTTATGATAGTAAATTCTACGTTACATATTTAGGACAATTAAAACCAAATGATTAGGACTGCTACTGGAAACAGGCAATGCTAGTGCTGGCAAAGGCTGAACCTGCTCACCTGGCATACAGTGTTTGTGGCTGAGAAATCACGACCACTTGAATAAATAAAGGAGAAAATTAGACCAGACAGGGAAGAGTGAAGTTTCCTACCTTCCTCAAGACATCAGATTCTGAGTTCATAAACATCAATATTCTTGAAATTCAGTTTGCAGTCGTTAAGGTGTTTCTAGTAAAGACTGACATAAATAATAGACTCTGGGGATTCTCAGGGTTGGAAAGAGCAGAGGCAATCGCTATCCCACGTTGCAGGCCCCTTGCCCACATCCATGAGGTGCGATCGATTGGCATCTAAGCTCTGGCAGAATACCAGCCAAGTGGGAAATCTCACTGATGTATAAACAATGAACAAACGAATGCCTGGTGATTCCCAGTCTTCCCAGGACACTCCCCCTGGAAAGCAGCACACTACTTGTCTAGGGTCAGAAAGGTCACATTCCTTAGGATAAACCAATGAGTCTTCTAAAAGGGCCTTCTATTTTCTTTTTCTCTCTCTCTTTCTCTCTCTTTTTTTTTGGTTGGTCATGGAGCCTGAACTCTGGGCCTGGGCGCTGTCCCTCAGCTCTTCAGATCAAGGCTAGCAC